ATTTATTGTTTTATGTACATTCTGAAGTATTATTTTCATTATTCATTACTTTTATCTATGAACTATAGTCTGAGTTAATGAATTATTTTGTTATATGATGTGATAATTGTCTGTATATTATTTATTTTTGTATTAAACACTGTTAAGTTAATTATATTATCATATTAATATTATTTGCCAAGTATGAGCATTTGTTTCATAGTAGAATTATTATTTATTTAATGTTGAAGTTCAATTGCATGTTGTGTTGACTTCCATTATTTAGTTCCAATTGACATAGTTTTGCTTCATACCAAATGATTTACCTTTATGATCCATTATGTCTGTCCATAACTTCTATTGCTTAGTCAGTACTTAGTCAGTGAATTTTGTTATTCTATTTTTCATAGTGTCTATAGTGTTATACTTTCTGTTCTGTTGTTTATGTTTAGTTATTAATTTTTTGTGCATATTATCCATTTTCTCCCCTTCAATTCAAGAAGGTATTTCTTTAAAGAATTGGATATTTCTTTAATTGTTTATTAATTGTTGTTATAATATAATATTTATATATAATAATTGTAATTGCTTTCATGGTTCGATTTCTAATTATTAGTATTATAAAGCAGTGTGTAACGTTTGTTATGTTTAATAATAAGTAATTTAAATGTTATTACTATTATATCTTTGTTACTGTTAATGTTTGTCAACTTATATAATGTGTATTTTGTTTGTTATAGTAGATAAGTACACATTATGTACAATATACAAGTTTTGTTTGTGCTTGTTATCTTTTATTAATAATTGTTCATAACTATGAATGAATATTTTGTTTTTGTGTTGAAAACATTTGGTAATTCATTTGTTTCTGTATTATATTCATTTAATAACATTGTAATTATTATTTATGTAGTGCTTTTAGTAAATGTACTGAGTTCTATTAAGTACACTTGCATCCATTATTACCTATTTTATATTATACTGTCTGAGATAATGGCTTAAACATTTTATTAATTTATTTAATCATATTATATTATGATTGTTTTTGATTGTAATTATTATAATAATGTGTTTGTAATAATTATATTTGTATTGTTTGTTGTAATAGCCTTATCAGCTTAATACTTTGCTCCTATGAGCTATGTTGTCACAATGTAAATTTAATAATTGTTTGTTAAGGTATATACACTGTATAGTTAATGTTACTGTTGCAACTTTGAAATTTATTATATAATCAGCTACTGTGATAACACATTCTGTGTAATTAAGTTGTATTGTTACATTGTTTCAAGTATAATAGAGATATAATTCTTTCATTCATTGTTAGTATACATTTACACAATTGTATTAATGTGTAAAGTAGTATCATTTGTTTAATAGTTATAATTTTTGCACTTGTCTTGTACTGTAATCAGTATTTATGTGTTATAACATTATTTCTTTGTGTGTAGTTAGTTTATACACTCTGTAGCATTGTTTTTTGGTTTGTAGTTATTCATTATACTTTTGTATATTTATACTTGTCTGTATATCTTAGATATGTGTATTATATTCAGTATCTGATAAGTAATCACAATATCTGACATGTAACTGCTGAATCTGATATGTTATATATAATTGCTCAACCATAATATGTGTTAGTTATTATATTGTTCTGTATTTGTTCTGTTAGTTCTATCCATATTATTATTATTATTATCATTATTATTATTGTTATTATAGTGTCCACAATTGTATTATCATTTATAATACATGTTAAATGTTTTATTTATTTGATTTAATATACTGTTTAGTATATATGTGCTTGTTTTGAGCATTAATTGTTTGGCTGTAATATTACTATATGTGTTATTATTTGATTTATACTATAACATATGTGTGCTTGTTGACAGTGTTAATCATTTGTACTATTTGTAATGTTAATAGTAGAAGAGTAGCATTTACTTTATTAATCTTTTTAACATTTGTCCATAGTATGATTAGTTAATTTATTATAACATAATCTCCATAATATTATAGAGTATTTTAGCATTTAATAATCACAGTAAGTAATACTCATTGTAGTTTCAACATTGCCTGTATAGATTACATTATTACTGGGCCAATGATTATAATTACTAAGATGACAATCATATAATGTCTGGGTTGTATGTAGTATAGTAAATTGTGTGTCTACAGTGTATTGATTTGTGTTTAGGATACTCAGACAGGTGAGTCAAGTTCTACATCATAGTATGTTGTGTGTGTGCATGTAATGTGTAGAACTGTATAGAGTATAGACATAGTAGAGTGTAGATAAAGTATAGGCAGGGAGCTCAAGACTCATAACCTGTTAAGAAAGGGGAAGAGAGGTTATGTGAGAGGCTTAGAGGGATCACACAAAGAGGAGGGATAGTAGACTCAGCTTGCTCTCTCACAGCTTGCTTCATTGTCTGTTGATTAGTTAGTCTATATATACTATGTAAGTATGTCTCAGATGTAGAATGTATGATGGAAGGTATTCTATCATTGTTTGTTATTGCTTGTAATGTAGTTTATATTATCTGAGACATACTCTTATATAGTCTTGTCTTAACAGAAAGGAAGGTCAAAGATAAAGGTACAAAGAATGAAGGGATGGACAAAGGGTAAAAGACTATAGAATGAACAAAGAATGAAAGGGTGGTCAAAGGAATAGAATGATAAAGTAAGGAGGGGTAGTAGTAAGAGTTAGTATGTATATAGTCTATAGATAGTACTCTTAAGAGACTGAAGTCCTGAGTTCTGGTACAGAAGGGTGCAGAACCCTTGGAACTGAAGGTATGAGAGTAGAGAACTGTAACAAGGTTCACCTGAATAAACTGTAGGAATGATAGGTTTTGCACTCTATATCTGTATCTTTAATTTGAGAAGTTTCTTGTTCCATTTCCTCTTAGTAAGCTTTTTACACTTCTTAGTACCTTTAGAGTCACTTGAATCAATGTCTGTAGGTTTGAATAATGTATTACTATCATTACTATTGTTAGAACTTGAGTATCTACTCAAATCTAAAGAATCTAAAGAGTTATTACCTGGATCTGAGTTAGAATCCTACCTTTTTACAATTTCTACTCTCTATATTACACAATTCACATAACTCTTTCTTACAAGGTTGTCTGAGGATCTTACTGATACAAATCTACTTGTCTGTAGTGTATTCAAGCTTTGTGGCTCAGTAGTATCTTGTGTAGTTCTTTTTCTGTAGCCTTTACTATTCCTATCTGTACTATACTTGATAGAGAGTACAGAACTGTGGTGGAAATTCTTTTCCTTACTCTCTTTGCCTTTTACAGTTTCTGATTTGTCTTCACTGTCATCAGAGGCATTCAGAACTATAAGTTTTATGTCTGGGTTCAGTTTATTCATTTTAATATTGTGTTTCACACTGAGTGTATGTATTGATTCTTGAACATTAGTATAATAGTGTATATATGTAGGTATTTTATTTTACAATGTGTCTCCTTGCCCTACTAGGGTGTTGTATCCATAGTATGTGTCCTTGCCTTAATTTTCTATCTTAGGGTAATATGTTTCTTGCTTGAAACAAACTGGTAATTCCTGAGAAGTTCTGAGAGCCTTACTGTAGCCTTCATTTCTGAAATTCTATTGTCCTGATTCTGCATTTTGTCTGTACTCTATCTCCTAAAAATACATTCTTTGTACATTAGAATCTACTTTACTAGAACTGTCTAGTTTTACCTGACTGTAATTACAAATGTCTGGAGCTATTCCTTTATTTGCTCTTACACTTTTCTTATTACTAGGTACAGGTTTACATTGGGAAAAAGTCTAAAAGGTTATATTACAATATAATGGTGTGAAAAAAGTAAAAAAAGTAAAAAAGTAATTTACATATTATCAGACCTTGATTTATGATAAAGTCATATAACATTGTATAATGTACTATAAGGTTTATGAATGTAATAAAAGTACATAAGGATAATACCCCTTTAAAACATATAAAATGCATAATATTGGACCTCCCTTTTTTGAAAGGTATTATAAGGATTTCTGTATTTCAAAAGGATAATATATGTTTCTAATGTTTTACAGACTATATATAGTTATTATTTGTTCTTGATAATAATTTTCCTTTACATCCATTCATTATTAAATTAATAAAATCAATTATATTAAAATATTTATACAATACATCACTATCTACAATAATTAAGGAAAATAAACCAAAACACATACATAGTAGCAGTCT